ACATAGCTGACTTACCATGCTAAGCAGAAGGTTGCCGGAGGGGCTGACTAATTTTGTTTTGCACCATGCCCCCTTGCCACCCCTTCTCTGTTACGCCACCCCCCTGCCCACTGCAGTTACTTTGTGATTGTGACCCTTAGCACTCTCAAAATTTGAATTGCCCATTGGTTGAAAAAGGATAGCAACCCCTGAAGCAATCGCTTGTGTCTACAGGAATTTTGAGGCACACGGGTCCTTCTTCCCCATTAATTTCAATGGAGAACTGGTTGTATACGCATATTCCTTTTGCCTGCACTGAGCTCTACCCAGTTAAAAGAATGGAGATTTCCATGTTGGTGGAGGAGTTTCCTGGGCTTTGCATCTGTCCAGATTAGGGCAAAGATTAGTAGATAACACAGTATGGCAGACATTCACTTTTCTGATGGCTACATTAGATACTTTGACACTGAGAGCAATGAGAATGCATCATGAAGTAGATGAACATAAAAATCCATTTGCTAAAAGCAATCTAAATTGATTTACCTTGGCCGCTTGAATAAACTTGACTGTAGTCAGAATAAAGGATTTACCCTATCATCTGCAATTCAACATTTCTTGGAAACAAATTTCGTGGGTGTGCCCCTCCTCCATGCACCAATTATTGCAATGTTTGCTCTTCCCCATTGTAGTAGCAATGATTAAAGAAGTCCTCCAAATAGCCTGTTCATTCAAGATTCCTCCTCACTTGTTTGCACAAAGTTTACATGGTGGTGAGATTATGTCTGGGCTTCACTGAGCATTCATTCTAATTTGTTTATAGGGTGGTCATACTGAGGTGAGCATTCATTCCAGTTTTCTTGCAGGGTGTTTGCACATCTTCCCATTAATTATTCACTTTTCAACCCCTCACTTTTCAGTGCATTCACTAAGATTAATAATAATAGTAATAATAGTAATAATAATAATTTATTTATTATTTATACCCCGCCCATCTGGCTGGGTTTCCCCAGCCACTCTGGGCAGCTCCCAACAGAATATTAAAAACACGAGAAAACATCAAACATTAAAAACTTCTCTAAACAGGGCTGCTTTCAGATGTCTTCTGAAAGTCAGCAGTTTATTTCCTTGACATCTGATGGGAGGGTGTTCCAGAGGGAGGGCGCCACTACCAAGAAGACCCACTGCCTGGTTCCCTGTAACTTGCCTTCTCGCAGTGAGGAAACCACCAGAAGGCCCTCAGCGCTGGACCTCAGTGTCTGAGCAGAACGATGGGGGTGAAGACGCTCTTTCAGGTATACTGGACCAAGGCCGTTTAGGGCTTTAACTTTCCTTAACTCACAAGTCCCTTTTTTTTAAGGTGGATTTGTTGTTCCAGGGCAAAAGAGCACTTTAATCGCACAAGCATACAGTTGCACACCACCCCAATTTCTGGGTAGTGTGAGATTCCAGGGGTTCCAGGCGTTTACCCAGAATTTGTGTTTCCTTTCAGGAATGAGGCACAGCAGAGACTGCGGTGTTTATATGCTATATGGTTTATTTACACATATATACAACCTGAGTCTACAGTGGAGGGGTTTGTAGCATTAACACTCCAAGAAAGTCTTGCTTCTCCTAGAGCTGCAGCCTTGGATTCAAACAGAATTCAAACGTTGCTCTGACTCTCTCCCCAGCTTGCTGCTTTTCCATCACTGCAACTTCCATCTCTAAACTCTTCTTTCTCCTTCTAACTAACCACGAGCTGGGGTCCCCCACACATTTGCCATCTCACACAGAGCCCCTTTCCTTTGTTTCCCTTAATGGCTCATCACGCGAGGAATCACTTCATCAGAAAGCTAGCCTGGCTCATATTTTGACACTTGCTGGATGCAATGATTAGAAGGGTCTAAGCCAGAGGTTTTACCTTTTTGAGTTCATGGCTCCCTTGACCAACTACATTCTTTCTGCGGCTCCCCTGTGGGGATATGTGCTCCAAGCCTCAGAAGCTCAGTTATGCCACCCCTTGCAAGCACAGCTGGCAGCCCCTCACCCCTTTTCGGACACCCTCCCTTTAGGGAGTGTTCCCTTGGCCTCCTCTCTTCCCTTCTACTTGGGAGTTCTCTGGGCAGTCGCCGCCACTGCTTATCTCTCTCGCCCTGACCTAGCCACTGTGATCCACGCGACGGTCACCTCCAGACTGGATTATTGTAACTCGCTCTACGTGGGGCTGCCCTTGAGACTGACCCAGAAACTCCAGCGGGTGCAGAATGCCGCGGCGAGACTCCTTATGGGGTCTTTGCTGCGAGATCACATTCATCCGGTGCTATACCAGCTGCACTGGCTCCCGGTGGAGTACAGGATCAGGTTTAAGGTGCTGGTTTTAACCTTTAAAGCCCTATACGGCCTAGGACCCTCGTACCTACGGGACCGCCTCTCCTGGTATGCCCCACAGAGGAACCTACGGTCTGCAAATAAAAACATCCTGAAGATCCCAGGCCTCAGAGAGGTTAGGCTGGCCTCAACTAGAGCCAGGGCTTTCTCGGCTGCGGCTCCAATCTGGTGGAACGCTCTGTCACAAGAGACTAGGGCCCTGCGGGACCTGACATCTTTCCGCAAGGCCTGCAAGACAGAGTTGTTCCACCAGGCCTTTGGTCAGGGCCCAGCCTGACTCCCTCCTCTGGCAACCTGCACAGAACTTTGCTTAACGGTTGCCATTAATTTGATTTTAATTAATTTTTATAATGAAATGTTTTAGAATGTTGGATTATTTGATTGTTGGATTATTTGTTTGTTGTTAGCCGCCCTGAGCCTGGCTTTGGCTGGGGAGGGCGGGATATAAATAAAATTTATTATTATTATTATTATTACTTCCCCCAACCTCAAACTCCTAGCAGTAATTTCCAGTATGTGTTTTAAACCTTCTCACAAAATAGCCACAGTCAAAAGGCACCCAAATACAGCATTTGCAGCTGTTTCCTAATAGCTCAAAGTTCTTCAAATATAATACAGCATCAGTCTCTACAATTCTGATAATAGTAGATACATTAAATTTACAATGCATTCAGTATAAGGGACATGTTTACAAGGGACAAGATCAAAGGTGGTCTGAAGGAAACTAGTCTTCTCAGAGCATCTAGGTAAATAAACTGTCCCTATACCAGCCTTTGAAAAGGACTGCCAATTTTCCTGTAGTTATATCTGTCTCTGTAGTGAACTCTTATGAGATTAGGTGTTTAAAATTTAATTTAAAAAATTGCTGGTTGTTAATGCCACATAAGGAACCCAAAGTGTGTGCTGAGGTGATTCTCAATAGGTAGACGATCTGCTTTGTGTAAGTCAAACAGATTCATATTAATTAAGAGGCCGAGATGTACTTCCTAGAAAGGCAATCTGGAGTGGTTGGCCTACATGGAAAGGATTAATAACAGGACTTTTCAAACCACTGAATGTAAAATTTATCATAAAAATAACTTGAGTTCCCTTCCCCTAAAGAGAGATCAGGAAATAATTTCATTCCTTAGGCCTTACTGGAATGCTCAAACAGTTCCACGGTGCAGTTTTCAATAACACATTTTACAAAGAATTTCAAACCTTCAGTTTCATCCATTGTGAAGGGAAGGGGAAATTAAAAATGCTTCGTGCAGGAATGATAAAGTAAAATAATTAAGACTCATAAACTAGGAACCACATGAAATTTGACAAATGCCACAGGAGGTTTGGGCTGGGTGTTCACTAGTATGCAGATGATACTCAGCTCTAGGAGCCGGTGGAGGCAGTGAATGTCCTGTGTGGGTGTCTGGAGGTGGTTGGAAGATGGCTGGCAGCTAATGGATTGAGGTAGAATCCTGACAAAAGAATTGTTTCTGGGGGACAGGGGGAGGGCAGGTGTGGAGGACTCCCTGGTCCTGAATGGGGTAACTGTGTGCCTGAAGGACCAGGTACGCAGCCTGGGAGTCACTCTGGACTCACAGCTGTCCATGGAGGCACAGGTCAGTTCTGTGTCCAGGGCAGCTGTCTACCAGCTCCATCTGTTATGCAGGCTGAGACCCTACCTCTCGCCAGAGTGGTACATGCTCTGATTACCTGCCGCTTGAATTACTGCAATGCGCTCTTTGTGGGGCTACCTTTGAAGGTGACTCGGAAACCACAACTAATCCAGAATGCGGTAGCTAGACTGGTGACTGGGAGTAGCCACCGAGACCATATAACACTGGTCCTGAAAGAACTGCATCAGCTCCCAATATGTTTCCAAGCGCAAATCCAAGTGTTTGTGCTGATCTTTAAAGCCCTAAACAGCTCTGGAGACTAAACAGCTCTCCAAGGGCCTTCTGACGGTTCCCTCATTTGAGAGCTGAGGTTAACAGGGAACCAAGCAGAGGGCCTTTTCAGTAGTCACATCTACCCTGTGCAGTGGCGTAGCTGGCACCCAGAGTGCAGAGGAACGAGCTCCATCAGCCCCGACCCTGCAAGGCGCTGTGGCTAAGGAAGGTCGTTTCTCCCTCGGCTTCTTTTCCCACTGCGCTCCTCACCCAGCACACCACTTCCCCTGGCGCTCTCACCTGCCCGCCCCAGGTGCTATGGGCTCACGCAGTGCCGCTGGCCCTGTGGAATGCCCTCCCAGCATGTGTCAAAGAGATAAGACAGCTATGCAAGTTTTAAAAGACATCTGAAGGCAGTCCTCCTGTTCAGGGAAGTTTTTAGTGTGTGATGTTGCATTTTGCTTTTACTATTTTTTGGGCAGCATATAAATTATAAATTGTTGTTGTTGTTGTTGTTACTAGAGGCCATCACCTAGTTGAAGCTAATCAGGTCTAGGTCTGATCCAGCATCTGGACTGGAGATTTTCTGGGAGCCACAAGTGTGCCACTTTGGGTTCCTGGTGGAAGAAAGGCAGGCAGGAGATATAGATAGATAGATAGATAGATAGATAGATAGATAGATAGATGATAGAGTATGGGCCTAAGGTTTCAATTGTTGGTTGCACCAAAGGAATATAATGATAAATGATAGATAGATAGAGGATAGATAGATGATAGATAGATGATAGATAGATGATAGATAGATGATAGATAGATGATAGATCTCTATATATCATCTATCTATCTATCTATCTATCTATCTATCATCTATCTATCTATCTATCTATCATCTATCTATCTATCTATCTATCATCTATCTATCTATCTATCTATCTATCTATCTATCTATCTATCTATCTATCATCTATCTATCTATCTATCTATCTATCTATCTATCATCTATCTATCTATCATCTATCTCTATTATCTAGCTATCAGCTATCATTATATTCCTTTGGTGCAACCAACAGTTGAAATCTTAGGCCCATACTTAAAAAGTGTTAGACCTGTGTTAAATGAAAACCTCTGCAGTATTAATGAGTCCAGCTTCCAAGCCTACTTACATGGTTTCCCAAACACAGTAATGTGAAACAAAGCCATTTATTTTAGCTTAACAGCAGTGTTACTACTGCTGTTAAGTTTCATTAAATTTTGGTTGAAGCAGAAAATGGTCTGTACTTCGAAGTGAATAATTTACTACTGAAATATACAGAACCCACTGCCCATAATCAGATTGCTAGTACTCTTCCTAGCATTTCAGAATATGGCAAAGGAATATGTGCTTATTTTATATGTTTCTCTCTCCACCTTCCCCAACCCACTCAAGTTTACCCAACTTCTGGCAGAGTTCCTTCACTTTGTCATTCTGATCCTGGAGAGTTAGGTGGTCTGTAATATTTAGAAGAATTAAACTTTAATAATGCATCACATTAAATGTGGCAATAATGGAGCACAGAAATTTAACCAACCATGTCTTTAATAGAATTAAAGTTTTAGCTGTAGGTGAAATAAGCACACGCTCTCACTTCTGCCATGGTTTTTGCTGGCCTGTATATTCAATGAGTTAGGGATGAGTAATGAAATGCTAATTTGGTGAAAAACACTCATTATGTTGGGTAACCTGTGGGCAAGTTGTGTCCATATCAAAGACAGATTTTCATCACACAGATGGCACCTTAACATAGGATTGGGATGAGGGGGAAATCTATTGATCACATCACAGAAGACACTTCTAAAAATGGCAAGTAATTGACTATTAATGTGGTGCCACAAAAGCTGGCCCTATCAAAGGATTTGTCACGTTGCTCTTTGGAAGAAAATGAAATATGAAATATCCTGTCAGAACTGATTCGGATGTGCATAACAAGCAGAGAAAGCAGAAACACACATGATTTGACCTATTCATCTCACACGTCTTCTGCATCACCCAGAATGGAAATCTGCAGATCATACACACATGACTCGCTCAAGACATTTTGCCGCCTGGGGCAAAAGAAATGCACAGAGGACAATTGTATCTAGCTTCAACATTGGCAATAGAAAAGTGTCCTCCATGACACCTCAGGGAAGCAGGCTATTTTAGCAGGTGCAAGACAGGTCATGTGATGCACGCAGCTCTGCTCCCCCCACAGAGTGGAATGGCTGGTGAGTTCAGGAGGAACATTTTGGGGGCTTCCAATGTTACCCACCATCATCAAGTGGTCACCTCATATGAGATACTGTTAGGCATTCAGTAAAAGCAGAGGATCTTATGGATAACATAATATGGAGAACTACTTCCCTATACTGATTCAAATCAATAACTCATTTAGCAAGGTCTGCCTCTTTTGACTGACACGCCTGTCTCTAGAGTTTTGAGCAAAAGGCTTTCTGAGCTTTGCAAGCCTGTGATCCTTTAAATAGAGACGTCAGCAATTACATCTAGGATAACTCATGCAAGACATGTGCTCTTCTCTAAGCTGTATCCCTTCCCAACATCCGTTTCATACTGTGAGATCTATTAGACCTGTGTTGATTAATACATTTGAAGCAGCTTTAAAAAGAAACTGGGCTTTGTGTGCCTTCCTTGAAATACCCCCAAACCTTTCCTATGCCTTTGCAACTACCTGCAAGGATGTCTAGTTGATAGTCTTCTAGCTCTACAGGACTGGGAAGCAGATGGGATCTGGTGGGTCATGTAGTCCAAGGGGATAGAGTCCCACAGAGCAAGGAGGGAGGGAACTTCACAGACATGCCTCAAACCTTAAACCAACAGTAACACTGCAGAGACAGTTGGGCTTCATGCTGTAAAGTCTCCCTGGGTCCCAGACTGCAGCTAGTTAGAAGAAGAAGAAGAAGAAGAAGAAGAAGAAGAAGAAGAAGAAGAAGAAGAGTTTGGATTTGATATCCTGCTTTATCACTACCCTAATGAGTCTCAAAGCAGCTCACAATCTCCTTTCCCTTCCTCCCCCACAACAAACACTCTGTGAGGTGAGTGGGGCTGAGAGATTTTAGAGAAGTGTGACTAGCCCAAGGTCACCCAGCAGCTGCATGTGGAGGAGCGGGGAAGCAAACCCGGTTCCCCAGATTACGAATCCACCGCTCTTAACCACTACACCATGAAGGCAACAGGGAGTATAGAAGCAACAGAAGAAATAGGTCCAGAAAAGTTAGGGTAGGGTATCTGGACCCTCAAAAGTGGAAGATCAAGATAGGAATGGAGCAGTGGGAATATGCAGCTTCCTCCTTCTAGTGGTCAAGGCCACCTCTTGTGGCAAAAGGTTGACAGATCTTTAAAACAAAGTCCTTTACACAATACTACAGTTAATGACACAGCCACTGCCCACAGCCGCAAAAAAGCTCTACCATCATATTGTTATAGCACTGCAGGGTTGGTGGTTTTAACCATGCCTGTTTTTTATACCTGTAAGACCGTAGTCAACAGCAGAAGTAACTGAAACAAAATTTAAAAAATTCTTCTAGTAGCACTTTAGAGACCAACTAAGTTTGTTACCGGTATGAGCTTTTGTGTGCATGCACACTTCTTCAGATACACTGAAACAGAAGTCACCAGACCCTTATATATAGTGAGAGGGTGGGGAGGGATATTACTCAGAAGGGTGGTGGGAATGGGTGATTGGCTGATAGGTGTGGTAAACCTGTTGATGACTGTTGACGCCTGCAAAAGGTCTTACAGGAGAAAGCAAGGGGTGAGATGGTTGAAAATAGCTTTATAATGAGATAAGAATCCAATGTCTCTATTCAGACCAGGTCTCCATGGTTTTTCAGCCAATCACCCATTCCCACCACCCTTCTGAGTAATACCCCTCCCCACCCTCTCACTATATATAAGGGTCTGGTGACTTCTGTTTCAGTGTATCTGAAGAAGTGTGCATGCACATGAAAGCTCATACCAATAACAAACTTAGTTGGTCTCTAAGGTGCTACTGGAAGGAATTTTTTAATTTTGTTTTGACTATGGCAGACCAACATGGCTATCTACCTATAAGTAGAAGTAACTATTGAACTGGTCAACTATAGGCTTGAGAGCTAGTCTTGGAGTAGTCTGGTCTGATGTAGGGTACTGGAAAAGAGACACAGAGACTTGACTTGTGTCTGTGCTGAATCCAAAGCTATGGCTTTGGGGGACAGCCTCCCTAAGAACCTAATGAAGAAGCAAGGTCTGCTGGAATGTTAATGCTGGTAGCCCTACCATCTTATGCTCAAATTGTGTGTATGTGTAAAGAAAACTATATCTATATAGTCTACAGTGACCTTTAATCCAATGAAACCCCAATCAGAGATTGGGATGCATGCAGCAATATACACAGGGCCAGATTTAGGTTTGATGAGGCCCTAAGCTACTGAAGGTAATGGGGCCCTTTATATGCCCAGCTGTCCTTTGTCAACAACAAATTATCACTGTTTTTTTTTGTCTTGAATATATGCTATATGGTAATTTATGGACCTAATAAGTATCTAAAGCCATTTGCACATAACAAAATATGTATTTTATCAGAGTAATTGTTGAACTGAAATACAATTAAGAAGTATATTAATAGTGAAATTTGTTGGGGAGGGGCCCCAAGAGAGTTAAGTCCTAAGCTATAGCTTGTTTAGCTTACCAGTATATGTAAATCCGGCACTGAATATACATGAGGGATGGGGAACCTGCAGCCATCCAGATGTTGGATTTCAGCTCCCATCAGTCCAAGTCAGCATGGTCAATGATCAAGGATGATGGGAGTTGTAGTTTCTTAGCAACTGGAGAGGTACAGACTTCTCATCCCTGATTTGCACACACCCCTGAAAAATCCTTAAAAGGTACAGGAACTCTGGCATCTCGTCCACCTACTCGTGAACAAGGCAGAGCCGTGACAGGTGAAAGCTCTTGCCACGTTTTTGGGTTTGACATGAATCAGGATAATGTAGACAAGGAGCTGGGAAGTGCACGGCCATTGCCACTGCTTTCAAAGGGAGGCAGGATTAATAGCCCTTCATCGGAAGGTGCAAGAATGAAATGTCAGGAAGCAGCCATTATGCAAGGTCTATTTCCCTCTGCAGACAGTACCCAGTTGCTTGGGAGAGCAGCTGGTGACATTGTAGTCAGTGCTTTCCAAAAGCTAATTGAGAGTGATAGGGGTAGAAATTCTTGTGTAATATATCGGTGCACACATTTCTATTTCACCCCAGATGCTCATCATACACATCTGTTCTTTGGTTCCAATAAACAAGCCGTTTCTTCCGTCCTCCTTCCTTCCTCCAAAATTCATCAGCAGCCTGGAAGACAAAGAGGCACAAGGGAGGGACAAGATGAAGCTTGTTGCTTCAATTACAAGCCCCTTCCCTTACAATTTGAAACACGTTAGAGGTTACTCACTTTGCAGTCCCCGCAAGGAATTTGTTTCACAAATCTGCATCACATTGTGGCATTCATATTGTGCTAACTATGACATGTCTACGCTGAAGCAGCATTTCCTGGCCCCGTCTGTGAAGTTCTGATGGTAAAATAAATCTAAAAATAGAATGCACGCTTTTTGCTTTTGGATAAACACCGTTTTCTAAAAACAAAAAACAAAAACTGCCAGGTTTTGATGTCATATTATTGTCCTAGAGAATGAAGTAACACAAAGATGTGGATTTTTTAAGCATATGTTTTTAATGGCACATTGCACCACAGACATAGTATCACCCTGTGATGAAAAGTAGGTTGAAAGTATTTTAAATAAAACAAATATATAAAATCAAACACAAAACCTGTATGAAGCAATATTAAGTAACAGAACGGAGAAATTTAATTTCCCGCCAAAACCCCCCGAAACGTATTATATACTAGGTACTAATATAATTTATTGGGGACGCGGGTGGCGCTGTGGGTAAAACCTCAGTGCCTAGGACTTGCCGATCACATGGCCGGCGGTTCGAATCCCCGTGGCGGGGTGAGCACCCGCCATTCGGTCCCAGCTCCTGCCCACCTAGCAGTTCGAAAGCACCCTTAAGTGCAAGTAGATAAATAGGTACCGCTTTATAGCGGGAAGGTAAACGGCATTCCGTGCGCTGCTCTGGTGCCGGTTTGCCAGAGCAGCTTCGTCACGCTGGCCACGTGACCCAGAAGTGTCTGCGGACAGCGCTGGCTCCCAGCCTCTAGAGTGAGATGAGTGCACAACCCTAGAGTCTGTCAAGAGTGGCCCGTACGGGCAGGGGTACCTTTACCTTTACCTTAATATAATTTATAAAAAAATTATATTCCTTATTACAGTCTAAAAATATATATTGCATAATAAAAACCCAGCCAGATGGGGAGGGTAGAAATATATTATTATTATTATTATTATTATTATTATTATTATTACAGATATGGAAGAAACCAAGGCTGGGAAGTAACCTTCATTGGTAAAGTGCTTATTATAATTTTAACCAAAAAGCCATCCTGGTTTCTTAACAATACTTAATAGAATAACTGGCATATACAGTGGTACCTTGGGTTACATACGCTTCAGGTTACAGACGCTTCAGGTTACAGACTCCTCTAACCCAGAAATAGTACCTTGGGTTAAGAACTTTGCTTCAGGATGAGAACAGAAATTGTGTGGCAGCAGCAGGAGGCTCCATTAGCTAAAGTGGTACCTCAGGTTAAGAACAGTTTCAGGTTAAGAACAGACATGCAGAACGAATTAAGTTCTTAACCCAAGGTACCACTGTAGTTCTTGGCTCAGAAACTTCTAAAAGTTAAAAGTCAATAAAGGTGGGGGGTTGGTTTGCGGTGGTAGTTAGTATTTTATTTTCATAGCACTGAAACATAATGCTGATCATTGTGTGTTTGCTGTTCAAAATCCCCAAGGTGATGAATCTAAAACTATTGCATAAGCTGCTAAATAGTGTGGGAGAGGAATAATTCACAGCCTTATTGGTAAGTACTTAACAGAATGAAGTGAAGAAAATGGGAATCCTTAAATCTAGCATACCAGCGTTGTGTTCTTAAATTTCTTTGGGCCATGTTGAAAAATCTATGTTGTTGTTGTTGTTGTTGTTGTTGTTGTTGTTGTTGTTGTTGTTGTTGCTGCTGCTGCTGCTCCTGCTGTTGTAGGATTGGAGTTTGGTTTAGATTATGCCCATAGGTCCAAACAAAGCCTTTGATGGCCAGTAGAAGAGGGAATCTTCTTTACTGATCAAACCAGTTTCTTTGTCAATATGATGGCCCTGTTAAGTACCACCAACTGAAGAGTTTGCTGCAACAGAGGCAGGTGGGTGTGCCTTCACCTGGCTGGGTACCATTTTATCCTGGGAAGGAGAACATTAGACCAGGTTGGCTAGGGTGTGTATGCATTTAGCTGGACTAGAAACAAGAGAGAGAAGCTTCACTTTTTCTGAGCTCCAAACTATGACTTTGGAGCCTTCCTCTGGAAACCTAATGGGAAAGCAATATCTGTTGGAGTGTTAATGCTGTGAGCCCTTCCACCCTGTGCTCAGGTAATATATATGTGCACTTGTTTGTTTTGTTTAGTCGTCTTAGTCGTGTTCGACTCTCCGTGACCCCATGAACCAGAGCATGCCTTGGAAACTCTCACTTTCTTCTCAAAGCTTCTCCTTTTTTATGTCCATGGAGTTTTCTTGGCAAAATACTGGAGTGGTTTGCCAGTTCCTTCTCCAGGTAGATCACATTTAGTATAAACTCTTGGCTATGACCTGTCCATCTTGGGTGGCCCTACAAGGCATAGCTCATAGCTTCTCTGAGTTATTCAAGCCCCTTTGCCACGACAAGGCAGTGATCCATGAAGGGGATATATGTGCACATAAAACTATATATTACAAAGAGAGCAGATTCTCCACTGACCTTTACTCCATGGAAACTGAATCCTAGGTAAGAACAGGCACCTCTGGAGTCTCCCACTGCTCAGAGATTGGGGTGCATGCAAAGAGTCACACAGTTCTCCTCTAAACACTAGCCATTTTAAATGTGAACCAACATTTCTGAACAATATTGGTTAGGAATCATCAAATAACCACAAAGAATGCTAGTGCACATTGGCAAATAAATCTAAAGCTTCACTTATTCGTTAATGGCATCTGAGCTGGTGAAAGAGGTTTTTGGGGTCATGGTGGATAGTTTAATGAAAATGCCACTTACGCAAGTCTTCAGTTCCAGGGGTCCATGCACAAAGCAAAATCTTGTAAAGCCAGGAACCCCCAGAACCGCCTGTCCCATGACCACCCCTACCTGCCGCGAGTGGGCCTTGCCTCTGCTTCACTTCCTGGGCTCTAGGAAGGTCTCATGAGTCTTTAAGCCTCTTTCCCAGTGGCCCATAAGCAGTCCTTTGCTTGTACAAGGCCCTTGGACTCTCCCAGAGCCCTTGCGCCTCTTTTTCCAGGGCCATGATGATAGTTTTGTAACAAGTATTAGTATAATACTAGAACAGCACATACCTGATTACTGTTATACCACTCTGATCACACACTGACAGCCTATAATCATGGTAACAAAGAAGGTAGCTTAAGCAGCTGATCCCCTGAGCATCAGGGTTTGGTGGTGGTGGTAAGACTGGGAGCAAAAAACTCTGATACCCCAGCCTCATCTCTAGCCCTCTTTCTTCCTCCTCCCTCTAGCTGACCTAGGACTCAGCTATACAGCTGCAAATATGACATTTTATGTGTGTATTAAGTGCATTATAGAAATGTGACAGTAGATGGCACTGGTGAGCTAATGGCAGATTCTATATATATTTTAAATTGTTGGGTTGTTTTTAAGGCATTTTCACAGCATTTTAAAATATATGTGTAGATTCAGCCCCAGACTGGCCATCTACCAGTTTAAGTCCTTATCCCTAGTAACTATCCTCCTG